CCCAGTTGTCAGATCTTGTATGAAGATCCTTCTCACAAAATCGACACATACAAATTTCAACCCATTTGTCCCCTCAACTTGGCAACCTACAACAGTGATGTGTAGGGATGGGCGATACCTCTTATTTAATTTTCGATCCGATACCGATATTTTCAAGCCCAGTATCGTCGATATCGATACCGATACCTCTAAACTAAACTAATCTGATCTTTTAAATTATTAAAAGAATAGAATCAGTAATTATACTCACTTAATATTAGATTTTAAAGCCGTTTTTAAAATTTCATAGGCCATTTTTCTGTTTACACTGTCAGAAATAAAATATACTATAATTGTATTTTAGCCCTTTACTGGGGCAGTAACCTCAAAGGTGCAACTATACCCCTAAAAGGGAGCACATTAGTACCATACAAGTATGCATGCTTTAAGGGTAGATAAGTTACAAAGGTGCACCTTTGAGGGTACCTCATGAAAAATAAACATGGTGATACATAAGTACTAAATGTATTATTATTATTACCATGGTAAATTTGTGGTTACTGCAGTTTTACTACAAATACTGTGGTACCGAATTTCTTGATAAATAAATAAAATTAATGGTTAAAAATGCACTTTAGAATCGATATTTTTATGTGAGGATCGATCCTTTCGATACAACATCAGTATCTAAAGTATCGATACTTAAGGATCGATCCGCCCATCCCTACTGCACTCCACACGGTACAAACAAAGAGAAGAGAAGTGAGAGAGCAATGAACTCCAGCAATATGTCATTTTATGCGAATCCCCAGACCTTTATCTACACATCAAGTATTATAATGGGAATATATCATCTTGGAGAGAGAGTTAACTTTAGCATATTTTTTTCTGACAGATTTATTAACAGCAATTACAGAACATAACACTATCCATTTGAACTTTACTATATTTATATATTTTATATAATCAGTATCGAAAGTATCGATACTTAAGGATCGATCCGCCCATCCCTACTGCACTCCACACGGTACAAACAAAGAGAAGAGAAGTGAGAGAGCAATGAACTCCAGCAATATGTCATTTTATGCGAATCCCCAGACCTTTAACTACACATCAAGTATTATAATGGGAATATATCATCTTGGAGAGAGAGTTTTACTATGCTGACTGTCATAACTGAACGTGATGTGCTGTTTGAATGCTGAGCGGAGAATGACTGACAGCTGCAGCAGAAGGAAGATTTAAACTTCAATTCAATTAAATTCAATTCAACTCAATTCTGTCCCTCACATTAAGATATAGGATCGATCTGCCCATCCCCAGTGATGACTACCGCGGGAAGGAAAGGATCACTAGTAGAAATGGGATGGGAGGAGAAGACTCAGGTGGTGCTCCGGTGAAAAAAAATCTAATGTACATGCAAATTGAGATATAGCTTACACTTCAAAAGGCTATGGTTTCATTGATTAAATATGAGCTCTGCAAGTTGCAAAATCAGGTGCTGCGCTGCTTTGTTTACTGTGGTTACCGGGGAAATGGCTATATTCCTGGCAAAAAGCGAAAGAATGAAGAGAGAATGAATTTGCATTTTTCAATAAGCCCTTCTGCTTTTTTTTTTAGTCCAAAGCCAAAAACGACCCTTATTTTTTACACAGAAAACACTCAGTTTGATATACACGCAGTTTAAATAATTGTATTTTACCCAATTGTTGACAGGTATGGTTATTTTTCTTACAAAAACGCATCGATTTGCTACAAGAGGCCTTTGTTCACCCCCCCACAGCCGTGTGAGGCACTTTTTTTTATTATGGATAGATGCGCTTTATTTCACTTTTTTTGGACTAATGAACTGCAACACCTGCTGACTGCCATTAAACAGCTTGGAAGATCAAAGACAATTTTTAATATAACTCCGACTGGATTCGTCTTAAAGAAGAAAGTCATATACACCTAGGATGCCTTGAGGGTGAGCAATTCGTGGGCTAATTTTCATTTTTGGATATATATATTTTATGAATAGTTTTAGAAAGTCTTTTTTTAAACTCTGTTAATTATAACCTCTAGCATTAATGTAATGAAAGGGATCCCTGTACAGTGCATTTGTTGGGAGAGATTTTTCCCGAAGAAAGCCAAACTATCTGTATATGTCAGTATAAATAATCGGCTATTGTCATTATCAGATGTCATTATAAATAATGGGCTATTGATATTGGCTGCGAATTTTAGTATCGGTGCATCCCTTATAGAATTCCAAATGCTTTGTAATTGATTGATAAACAAGCCTTAAAAAACACAAGACATGTAAAACAAGCCTTGAATGGTGAAATCTGTTTAGAGTCTGTTCATTACAGTTCACATCACAAATGCTGCACATGTTGCTCACATCAATACATTGATCTGCAGTGAGCTGCAATATTAGCATGCTTTTAGCATTGACAGCCAGATGAGGCCTTTTGATCATTTATTGTAAATATGACAGGTTTCGACTTTTTAGACCCTATTAAGCTTGAAGTTGAGCCAAACATTATAGAACATGCTGTGAAACAGCATCTTCCCACAAATTATGCATAGCATAAAAATGTAGTCTGCAATCTGTGTTCAGGGCTTTTAGCATTTCATGGGTGCTAGGACTCCGAATTTGACAACTTTTTTATGGTTTAATAAAAGCCTAAGATGAAAAGGATCACCCAGACATGGACAAATATGTGAGTGAAACCACATGATACAGTAAATCTTTAAAGGCTTCTAAAAAATCGTCTTAGTATACACAGTCAACCTCATAGGCAGATTTATATTGTTTGGCATGTGTGTTGAGGTGTGTAACTTTTGACATGTTTTAATGTCTTCTGCCCTTGCAGGGTCAGTCATGTCATCCACATGGTGCCCTAGATCTTATTGACACAGCTGGCAGGAGGGACAGGGAGGGCATCGCCAGTCTGTTCACCTGACAAACAACTCAAGGGCTTGAGCACTTGAAATCCGGTGTGTTCATGTAGCCTTAAGGACTCTGGGCACTACCGTGACCTTTTTATTCAGCTTGACATTGGAGATATTTGGCAAGTGTTATCCCTGCAACATACTGAATGTAAACCCTGGCCTGCGGTGATCTGATAGTTCGCTTTAGTGACAAAGTGAGGAGCATAAACCAGCTGGTCGAAAATATTACTGCTGTTCAGAATTGCCGATGTTTTGTTTGAGGTTATGTTCATTAGTGGAAATAAGAAGACTTGGTTTTGACGAAGTGTGCACCAAGAGGATTCTGAAAATCAATAGTCATGTAGAGTTTATCTGAAAACAAACTGTATAATTAATGCATCCATTGATTTGCTCTGCAGGGGAATGTCAGTTGTTGATCATTATTAGTATTTGAGGTAGCTGGAACATTATTTTGAAGATGAAGCCTGGGGCACTGAACAACACCGCAAGAAATCACTTCATCTTTTATGACTATCCCCTTAATATACTGGATATATAGTCTTAATGAAACAGGTAAAACATTTGTTTGATTGACAGTGAAGAACTGCACTCTATTACAAATATCACTCTTTATCGATCAACCTGTCTATTAGACATTGAGTATCATGAATGAATTCTTGGTTAATGCTAATTTCTACATACGCTACTGTTCAAAAGTTTGGGGTCAGTAAGATTGTTTAATGTTTTTGAAAGTCTCTTATGCTCACCAGGGCTGGAATATTCTAATATAAAGTAAAATTTTTCAATTTCAATATATTTTTTAAATGTAATTTATTCCTGTCATGGCAAAGTTGAATTTTCAACAGCCATTACTCCAGTCTTTGGAGTCATTCTAATATGCTGATTTGATGCTCAAGAGAAACATTTAGTATTAATGTTAAAAACCGTTGTGCTATTTTTTTTCATAAACTATGATTGTTTTTTAAATAGGATTTTTTGATAAATAGAAAGTTCAAAATAACAGCATTAATTTGAAATAGAAATCTTTTGCAACATTATATAATGTCTTTACTGTCACTTTTGATCAGTTTAATGCATTCTTGCTGAGTAAGTTGTCTTTAAAAAAAGAAAGACCCCAAACATTTAAACAGTGTAATACATTTTTAACATTCCAAGTTTTACAAATTAACTTGAAATTGTAACCATTAGCAATCATGCATTTATAAATTAACCTATATTAATAGATGTAGTTAATTGTGAGTTGAACCTTATTTTAGTTTTTAAAAAGATTATCATACCAATAAACACTAAATGGATAAAGGATTTGATGCAAAAGAGTTTATTTGATAAACAAAAGAATCTCAAACACCACGGTGATTTTCCTCCAACATGTTAAAATCACTACTGGTTTCAGGAACAGGATAAATAAATATTTTTAATATTGTTCAGTTTTCTACTAAAGAGAAGCAACATTGCTATATTGATATGTTTATATTTCTTTTTTCTGTTTAGAAGTACACTATAAAAAGACTCAAATGTAGCCATTACATATGAGTATGCAGAATTTCAGGTACATATTATGTACATATGTCTCTTTTAGAATGTATTTGATATTAAAGGCGAGTGTTTTGTATGCTGTTCTACAGATGATTTTGTACACATGGCTGTCAAAGGCTAAGACAGCTTCAGCCTCCATACACACTGAGAGTATATGATGAAGAGCTGCTACTAAAACCTTGTTCCCTGGGATCAAACGTTACGTGAGCGGTGCCTCCACAAACCTGCAGTTTCTTTGATTCATTTCTCTATAAAGCTTTTTATATTAAACAAAAAATTAGGTGATCAAAAGATTCACAGATTGTTTCTCTGTCACTTGTTTTCTCCCCATCTCTTCTCCTTCAAATGAAAATCTTTAAACGTGGCACTTAGAAAACATCCACAAGGAATTCTCATTTTTATTTTAGAACAAAATTTACAAAGCCATTCAAACAGTCTGTATTGTAGGTAATTACTTCTTTTAAACTCAACTTCAAAAAAATCATGAATATTCAAAATACACTTTGACTTCACTGCTGTCTCTCATTATATACAAATATGTACAGGCAAAGAAAAGTCAGCGTCTCACAGTCGTATGTATCTGTACTGAAAAAAAAGAGAGATCTCAATATCTGTTTGTATGTATGTAATTGTATAAATGCAACCAGACCTGTTCCAAACCTGGATTTTGTGATTGGCTGGTTGACAGTTTTTAGAACGCTCAGACCGGTCGGCTCAAATAGAGGTCCCATGGCTTGGATCAATGGCTTCTGGGATGGGTCCCCCGGGCACTGCCTGGTAAGAGATGGGCATAGGTGTCTTTACGGGGCTCTGGCGGAAAAGGCCTCCGTTGGGCGCCCGGTGTTTGCAGCGCATGGAGGGTGGCAGAGTGGAACTGCTGAGAGGGAGGGGGAGGCTCCGTCCGGGCACGCGGCCGACCCCAGGACCCTCCTGGAGGAAGGAAGTCACGGACAGGCCCCCAGGGGGGAAATCTCTCATGGTTTCCCGGGAGCTCTGATGTGGCCGCATGCTGCCCATGTCCAGGGCAGAGATCTCCAGAGACTGACCTGGCAGCTGCTTGTGCGCCAGATCGTCCTCCATCAGCCCACTCATACGCTGGTGAACCTGCTCCAGATTCACCTCTTTGTCCTGGGAATGACAAAGAAAGGGGGAGATTGAGACCGAGTCCAAGGCGAGGGGAAAGATGAAAGGGCGGGAATTGATTTGTGGGGTGGAAAAAGGCAAGAAAGAAAGAAGAAGCGAGAAATGAAAAGTGGACGGGCACTGGAGCAAGAACAGATGTGAATGAAAAGAATGTGGAAGTGCGTGCAATCTTTCAGAAAAGAGCAGAAGGTGTTTACCAGGGGCTCCAACAATCACATCAACTCTGATTAATGATACCAATTACACAACGTACTACTGACAGCACGGAATAATCTCATAAAAATAAAATCAAATCCATCTCTTCTCCCACCCGCTCCAGCAAGCAAAAGGTCTGAACTGCTAAAAAAGCTTAATATCCGAAAAGTTGCGAAATGAAAGAAATCAATGATGCAAATGAGAGTGAGCGCTAGGAAACATGGGCCATAAATGGAATTGCAAACACATGCTTTGGAGCTTCAATGTTTCGGGCTTATTTCAGAGGAGCCTTGAAAGGGGTATTTCTTCATTCTTTGATATGCGCTGCCGTGAAATAGCTTCGGTCATGCGCCAGTGATGCTGTGGCGTGCTACTTAATGAAAGAATCAAGCCAACATTAACAGTCCGCTAACTGCTTACATTTTTTCCCACACAGTCATTTAATTCTCATGCCATGCATCCTCCATAAGAGAGTAAGGAGGGTGAACTCGATACTATGAAGCATTCATTCAACACTGATAACCGTTACATCCAGGACTACTCTGTTAATCACTGTTCTTCTTCTCTGTTTTGTACAAGCCAGTTCAGTAATGCATCCTTTCCATTTTAATGGAATAGTTCACCCCATAATTAAATTCTGTCATTTACTCACTCTCATGTTGTTTCAAACCTGTATCATGTGGAACACAAAAGATGACTTGGGACCCCATTGGCTTTTATTATACAGACAAAAACATGCTTTAAAATATCTTCTTTTGTGTTTTTGTGAGTGACTGAATTTTCACTTTTGGGTGAACTGGCCCTTTAACTCAATTGCAGAGGTCTTGCGTCTCTAGCCCGGTCGATACCAGCGAATCAGCTGTATATTCTACGGTTTTGTACCGTTTATGGGTAATTAGAGGTGTCACATTATGAGACTATGTTTCTGAGTCATAAGATCAATGAAGAGATAATTACTGCAGAGCTCATGCAGCTGTAGAAGAAAGTCTGAATGTGGCTCTAATTAAAAATGCATTAATTCGCCATTAAAATACACCCAATTTGGGGCACTTACAGCAGTGACAAACAACACAACTGGAGGCCAGTCTCCTTTTGGATTCCAGATTGCAATATTTTGGGACATCAGTGTGACCACTGAATGGGTGATCTGATGGATGACAAACAGATGATGAATTTGATGAGTATGTGGAGCGAAATGGAGAGGCACACAGTGGGAGAGGCACACATAGTGCTGCTTTGGCAAAGAGACTCCATGAATAAAATCATCACTCTAAACAGAAAGTACTTATTAATCCACACAACATTGATGAATTAATGTCTCTGACTCTGCCTGGGTCTCTGTCATCAGTTAGTTCTCTTTGCATGAGTGAGTCATAATTACTGCTCCACCCACATATATAATCTGATTGATCTGGAGTCCTAACCCACTCCAGGAGGACGCTTGTCCTTCCTCTAAATGACTCTACATTGTCAAGCCCTGTTCACCCCACTGACAGGTATTCCTTGCTCAGGTCTCGGCTGACCTGTGTAAAAAGCCTGCGTGTCTTCCCAGTCTCTTTCTCTCTCTGGCCAAACGTCCCGTGTGCATCCTGCAGCAGTTGCAATTTCATTATATGCCAATGACCCAGACACCATCTCCAGAGTGCAGCCCTTAGTGTCCTGTATGAGACCATAGAGAACCCGTGACTGCCTGGACATTGGCATATAATTGCAATAAGAAGACACAGACAGGGATATAAAACATAAAATGTGTCAAGTTGGTTATCGTGTGGTTCTTATTGCTTGCCAGAGCTCCAGTGAGTCCCTTCTTACAGTGTATCATAAACCAAACAAAACCATACATAAAAGAATCACTCAAATTGTACAGGCATATGGCAGACTGAGCACCTTAAAGCAAGAACAAGGAGTTGGTTGGTGAAAGCAATATAGTCTGAAAGCTAGTAAAAGTTATTATCTCTTTATGTGCTATTAATTCAAATCCAGTCAAATTTCAAGCAGATGACAAATGGTAGTCATAATACAGACGTCTGATCGTTATTATTCAACAATGTCTGTAAAATTTAATATTACGTTATCAACAATCAACGTCCCTGAACTATAATATGTGGTTTATGAGCTGTTGCTCTCACCAACGTGCTTGCCTCGGCTCAAGATATCGCCAAAGGGAAAAGAGAGAAGGAGAGGAGACAATGACGGAAGAGTAACTGCAGAACACTTGAACATAAGTAAATACGTCACTGGCTTTCTCATTGCACACACTTTAGTTTAGGGATCCAGGTACAACCTTTGCCCTAACAACCTAGCAGAAGCAGCAGAAGTAGTATGATTGACGGATATTGCAAATTGTGGATGTTTGTATGCAGAAAGCTACTCGGAAACAATAATTTAATGAATGGAACGACACTTGTAGGTGCCCATAACACAGAGCTAATGGGTTTGAATACAAAAGCTATCATCTCCACTTAAAGGGATAGTACATCCAAACAAAGAAAATTCTGTCATAATTTTCTGTGGTCCCAAACTCATATGAATTCCTTTCCTCTGTGAAACACAAAAGAAGACATTTAGAAGAATGTTTTAGCTGTTTGTGGCCATTATAAAACCAATGGGTACCAAAACTTTCAAGTTCCAAAAAGGACACAAAAGTAGCAAGACATTGTTAAAAATATAAATAAATAAAATTTACAGAAGATGTTTTCTGATAGAAAACATGAACCAGTCTTCACTGGTTTGTGAACAAATGGCATTTTTGGATTCCATTGACTTTTATAATATTGACAGCATAAAGTCACAAAACAAGTAGTGGTAGAACTTTTTCCAAATTGTGATGTACATTTGAGTATAACGGGTTATCAAAGAAAAAAAATGTATAAATTGGTTGTTGATTGGATTTTAAGATATTATAGTCAAAACAGTGACAGATGAATGCAAGCATGTAGGGGTGCCATTTCAGCAGACTAAATGATTGGAAAAATCTGGCATTCGTCACCAGAGAGAAGAATGTTGTTTCGCTGGAAGATCAGTTTATGACATTTTGATTAAAAATTAAGAGGTCCTAATTGAAATAAATAAATAAACAAACATTCACCCCAAAAATAAGATCAATAATACCCATTTTAAAAATAGAAATGGTGAATTTACATTTCATGTCAATGTTAAACATTCTTCAAAATATCTTCTTTTGTGTTCTGTGGAAGACAGTAATTCATACGGATTTGGAACAACGTGAGGTTGAGTAAATGATGACTGGTTTTCATTTGTGGGTGAACTATCCTTTTTAATAATCAAAGATTTGATCTGTTTTTTTTTTCTTAGGTGATCTTGTGCTTTTCTTGAGTGACTCCCTCCCCCCTTCACCCTTCCCTCTTGCCTTCTCTTTGGCAACACTTCAGAAAATGGGAGGCAGTAAGTTCTTAATGGTCACACCTATAGCTGGGTGTACTGGAGCTCGACTAAATCGGGACTTGCGTCAGTGGCGTCTGGATCCATAAAGTAGAGTGTGGCAGTGGCTGTACAGTCCTGGGCGCGGTGGGCAGGGGTTGGCCGTAGTTTGGCCGCCTGTGGGGTCACCTCTTTGGGCTGTGCCCGCTGACAGCGTGGCCCATTCCACCATGACTCCAGAGCGGCCACCAGGCAGGCCAGCAGCAGCCCTGCCGCCAGGATGCAGAAGACCCCAGCGAAGCTGTGCAGTCTCAGGGCACGGCCCTCTGGCTGGGGCTCCGCGTGCTTGTCTAGGTCACAGCGACCTTTTCGCGGCCACCACTTCTGCTTTAGTATGTCAAGGTCTCCTTTCTCCTGCAGGTCAAGGATCCTGAAGTGAAAAGGAAAATGGATTGTTAAGAGGGCTGAGCTACTAATCTGTCATAGCTTTCATTTGAATAATAAAAAAAACTATACATTCTGAAATTATTGATTTTGCCTGTTCCACCGCTTTGTTGAAAACTTTATTACAAGTGGGAAGTTCAGAACAAAATATGACTTATAGGTGACAATGAAGCAAATATAAGGGTTGGACAAAATAATATGAAAATCTGGGAAATAAGCAACATTTCTGAAGGTGTTTTACCAGGTGTTCTGCCTTTAATACAGATTCCAGATGTTTTAGAATAGATTCATACACTTTTTGAATAGTCTCCAGCTGAATGTTGTCTATGAAAACATCTGCCAGTTGCTTTAAAGATGCTGGAATTCGCTTCTCACTCTTCTCTCTACTACTATCAAAACTATTATCAAAACTACACAGTAGTGTGATAATATTCAAGTCAGGTGATTTGTCTGGCCAGGGCAGATGTTGAAGTTCATCTTGGTGTTCCAACTGTGCAGGTTTTATGATCATGACACCATCTTTTGCATTTTAGTATTGGTGCCTGTGCTTAAAGTTTTAGCAGTTGCAACTCTTTCATGGATGCTGGCTTTGTGAAGTGGCTTTGTGGTCAGTTTTTGTGGTCTTCAAGGTGAATATTGAGGTTTTCTGTCACTTTGCTGCAGTAGTTCTGTGTTGTTTGGACACATAATTTTGTCCAACCCCTGTATTACAATTATTGGCCATGGAGCCATGGAACATGACCAAGAAACAAATTATGGAAAAATAATGCTTCTGGTTTTCAAATGTAAAAAGTGAGGCAATTATCTCCTCAATTAAAAGGCAGCGATAAAAGGTCCTTAAATAGTGTTGACAAACTTTTGTAAAACATTGAAAAAAAAAATCACTTCAGCAGTAACAATGAACATTTGGTCTTCTATAGAGTCTTATTAATTTACTTTCTCTTTATTCATTGACAAGTTTTCTTAGTAGTTATACATTTCAATGCAGCAGACGTTCAGAAAGTGGACGCATTTGTAAAGAATCCAGTGGAAAAGGTCAATAACTAATGATAGAAACGAAAATGTCAAAGATTGAAAAATAAAGTCTGTTCAGCTGCAATCGTCCTGGGTATTAATTTAAAACATGTTTGATTCTAATTCCCCATAACAGACTGAAAGGTGATTGTAGAGGATCCTTCATGAAAATGCATTTCGAGGCCCCGATGTTCCTGATATGTGAATTATTAATTGCCGGCGAGCTTACCTCCCTAAAGCTAATTAGTATGTGAGCAGAGCGTCGGTACGAGCTGAAAATATGAATGCAAATTATAGTCAAACAAATGAAGGGCTGCAGGGTGAGGTGCTTTAAAGCCAGTGGAGAGAAGAAAGGATGGGTGGGAATGAAGATAAATGCACCAAGAAGCAGACACTGGTGATTCAACACGATTCGTGGGTTCTCCGGCAAGACTGCGTCTGCCAAGGAAATAAATGTAATGTAAATGAGAGAAAGGACAGCTGATGAAAGAAAAAGGGAAACAATCCATCACAGTCATGCAATGTGATGTTTGCGAAGCTTTGAAGCTTGATATTGACTTGTGAAATGATTGAAATGATGGTGTCTCCTTCAGCTAGTTTAACGACTTGTATCATTCTTTCTGATCATATTGCACATATACACTCGCTCACTTCTGCGAGAAGAGATCTCTGTAAGGGCTGCCGTGCTGCAGAGCCAGGCCGTATCCTTTGCTGCTCATGCTGTTTCCTGTGACCACCAGCGTACAATCATCATCTGTCAGAGCTGCATACTCTAACACCGCCATGTCCCACAGAAAGGCGTACGGATCCCGCTTCACCTGAGAGAAACCACACACACACACACACACACACACACGGTTCAGTGTTTAATTTGCCCATGTATGGCTGAACATCACGGCAGGGTTTTGTGTTTTTAATAATAGTAACGTAAACAAATCCGGAGGTTATCTTAAGATGGAGAGCTTCTCCTTTCAGTCATTCAGTTCTTGTCAGACAGGTCACAGACATCATTCAAAATGAAAGGTGTTTATATTTCACTGAAAGTCATGAGATGGCTTTGAACTTGTTTCTTGTCTGGAAACTAGCCTCCCCCGCTTCCTTTTTTAAGAGATTTCACTCTCTCTTGGGAAAATGGCTTTCCCCCTCCCCCACCACACTAAATAAAGCAGCACAAGCGTCCGCTTTCTTTTCTGTTTCTTTTAAACTCAGGCTCTATCGCAACCACATGGTTATGACAAACTTTCATATGACAAGTACAAAGGAAAAAAAAAGGATGTCAAAGAAGAAATGACAAAGAAGCTACCATCTCCTGGCTCTTCCATATAAACATGAAATTTTCCCTATCTCTTTTTAAAGTACTACAAATATCCGTCACTGCCTGAAATGAAATTTACAGTTTGTCTTTCAAGTTTACATCCATTAGGAGGATTTGGATACTCTCAACCTATTAAAGCATTGATATTAAATCTATCAAAGGTATACAAGTGGAATGTATTTTAAAATGTAATTTATTCCTGTGATGACAAAGCTGAATTTTCAGCAGCTATTTCCCTTCTGTGTCACATGATCCTTCAGAAATTATTCTAATATGCTGATCTGATGCTCAGTTATTATCAATTATTATTGGGGCTTAGTTATTAGTAATAGTTCTTATTATTATCATCATCATCAATGACGAAAACAGTTTTTGCTGCTTAATATTTTTGTGGAAACCATAATAATTTTGGGGGGGATTCTTTGATGAGTAGAAATTTCAAAAGAACAGCATTTTTATTTCAAATATAGATATTTTGTTACATAAATGTAATTTAATGCATCTTTCCTAAATAAAATTGTTAATGTTAAATTTTCTTACTTTTTTTCTTTCCACAAACTTTTGAGTTGTAGTGTGTCTGGTTTCAAAATATTAAGCAGCAAAAACAGTTTTCAACACTGATAATAATAAGAAATGTTTCTTGAGCACCAAATGATTAGAATGATTTCTGAAGGATCATTTGAAGCTGAAGACTTCAGTTTTGCCATCACAGGAATAAATTACATTTGAAAATATATTCTATATATATATTACAATTTAAAACTGGAAATGATGCTATACTGTCCATTGGTTATTTCCACTTTTAGGGGGGAAAAAAAGACATAAAATGACAAAATTCTCCAAGGACAAATGTCCATACACTACTGGACACTGTTAGCAAACAAATTATTCTAGTGAGGGTGTGAAATGTTTGCTGTAAGATAATTTATTTTCTAGCCCACAGGGACAAAAGTGGCCACAGTTGAGGAAACACTCGTATATATGTGAATCTGTTGGGCAATTACTGGTAGTTAAACACGTCAGCATGGATGGCCTGACAATAGCACTATTCAACACCATCCAAAGTGCGGGGGTGCAACTGTACAGGCCTCAATTTCTCTGTGTCTTATCTCTTTTCATTATTCTGCTTAAGAAATCAATTCTGAGCCTGCTGAATTGCTAGCTTAATAGCCAGTTATGTAACTGGGCTGAAAAACTCTCATAAAGAGATTCATGGTTTGGTGATGTCTCCTGCAAAAAGCATGCCAGTGGATATGCCACAATAAGACGAGCTGTGAAATTCAATACCTGCAATTTTTTGAAGTTTTATCAAAGGGTTTGATGTGGATATCAAGTGTCTTAAAGATTCACTTGGCATCAGCAACAGTTTGTATACAAAGTGACTTTGAAAGTTTTACCAAACAAGCACAAATACATGAATGCATTCAGCAGCATATTAATCATTTTTATGACTCGCACAATATGGATGGATATTACATTGTCTGAGCCATGAATATTTATCTTGATAGTCTAAAGCAGTTTTGTCATGTTTTCTGTCAGATTTGCATGCTACATTTCCCTTTCTCTCTTTAATGATGCAAGATGCCAGAATTGTCCTGTTTCAAACCTAAACAGACTGCAATTTACTGCTGGGCTCTTTTTGTGTTCTGTGAGACATGCTTTGGATTACAAAGAGCCACCGATAGCCAGCCAGCCTCATGCACATGGTAGTGCACAGAAAAGCTCTTACCAGAACCACGGACAGCTCTTACGTAGTACTATACAGCGGAAATTCAGCACCACGGACAGCTCTCCACTCTGATTAACACGACTGGTGCTGATTTGAAAGGTTTGAGCTTTTCAGTTTAATAATAGCTCCTCTTATCCTCTGTTTCATGTGCTGTGTGTGTTTATATATATATATCTTATTTCCAGTGTTGGGCAAGTTACTTCCAAAATGTAATACATTATGCTGTATATTACTAGTTACTGTCTTTTGATTAAACTTAATTTTTGTTGCTTGTCTGCGCTCGTCCGCCGCCTTTTTCTCTTCTACGACCCCGCAGCTCTCTCCGATAGCGATTCACCACTTAATTTTGAGTTAAAATATGTTGTTGTAACTTGCGTTACTGAGATTGTAACGAGTAATAATATTACCCAAATTTTATTAGTAATGCGTTATTACTGCGTTACAGCAAAAAGTAATATACTACTGTAATATTATTACTTTTGTAATGCGTTACTCCCAACACTGCTTATTTCTAATTTTGGAAACATTTCTTACCATTATATATTTTGAAACCAGTTGTGCTGCTTAATAATTTTGTGGAAACTTTTACTTTTTTTTTTTTTCCAGGATTCTTTGATGAACAGAAAGTTCAAAAGAACAATGTACTTGAAATATTCATTTTTTGTAAAATTATAAATGTATTTATATTGGGCCTGTATATACCAAAAATAAACCGCCACCTTGATATTGATAAAGTTTGTATTAGGCTACATATGTGGAATCTTGATCCCCCCTCCAACCTCATCTGTAAGTAACAGGACTCTGATACCTTGCGGATGCCTTCAGCAGGAGATGTCACAGAGTTGTCCTGCCCCTGATTTTTATTGATAGTTCTCCACAGCTCGGCGAAAGTGCTGTCTTGCTCCAAGGGGTTCGTGCCCTTCACCCTGAAATACTCGAACACAGCAGAGTCCCTCACCGTTCCGTAGCTCAGCTCTGTCTGCTTGGAAAGGTCTTGAAATGTTCTGGATTGAGAATAAAAATAATAAAAGATATACGTCACATATATTATTCAAAGTGCACATTATATTAAAAATTTTATAAAAACAGACATGACAACAGAGTGTGGAAGAAGGCAAATTTATCTAATTAACATGCTGTATGCTAAGAATTATTGATGCCTGATGTTCAGAATGTGTTTGCGAAATTGCCACTGTCATGTGCTGGATGATTTGATTTATTATTTTAGTTTTTAAACAATCTGGAGGTCTAGATATGCCTCAAACAACAACAACAAAAAGCTGTGAATGGTACATTTCACAACCTGCATAAAAGTGTGAAAGGAGCATTAAACAATTAAAATCCTACTCTCGCTGGAACCAACCATTTAGGCATATCATATGGTGCTTTTCAGCCATTTGAATAACATGTAACAGTGTACACACATAGATACTATTATTTCACTTGATTTTTAATTGCTCTCTTAGAGTGAGCAAAGCTTTATTACCCTGACTGTAAAGATTTAAAGAACAGAAACTAAATTAAATGAGGGGAAATAAATAACAATTAATGAAATTAAATATTTGTAAAAATAAAAAATAAAAAAAAAGGTTTAGTGCAAAAAGACTGGATTCAAAATTAAACAAATGTCAAGTGTCCATCTTTAGCACTGGTGTTGGTGTTATGCACATATCCTTAGGCTATAGAATACAATTACCTGCTTATTTTTTAAAGACAGTTCAGACGGTTTATTTAAATTTTTTTTTATTTTTTTTATTTCATTATTGTCTATAGTTTTAGGTAGCTTAGAATCTGAAATACATTCACAACATGCTCTCTCTTCTCTGAAATAAAATAAAAACATTTAATTAAATAGATCATAACACAGACGATGTGTCCTTCACCTCTCCATGACACTTTTCCTCCTAAATGCATTCATGAATCACAGAGGTGTGAGTACTGATACGCTGCATTTCGATAGGGTAATATGGGGGTTAATGAAAGTCTCTTATCTAACACTACCATTACTGCTTGACCTGGCTCTGTAAGTACAAATCTAACAGCATGAAAATATTTGGCTGGTTTACATCTGCTCATCTGCTTATGTATGCATGTAGTATGCATTTTTTTCTATTATTATGTGTGGGCTGGATGGCTGTTTTATTATTTTAAATATTGTGAAAAGCTTTAATAAATTTAAACTGTGATAAATATGCAGCAATTGGTAGGGTGGAAATGGTTTCTGAAATGTGTTTTCAGTTAAGATGGCTGTGGCCAGATTATAACAATCACACAAATTCTTGTCCACACACTGAATATAGACTTTAAAAGGGTCTAGAAAAAACAAAACAAAAACAACATCACAGTTTTTGTACAAGTACAGGCGAGTTAGAAGCCAGACCAACAGGCGCAACAATACTCGCTTCTCCACATTAAAACAATAAAAGAGCTCATGCAACAATCAATCCTTAATGAAAAGGCAGACTAGACACAACAACACTAAAACTGTCTCAAATAATGAATGAATGCATAAACATGATGTATTCATTAATTATTTGAATAATTTGGGGGAAAAAATTCCACCTGACAAAATACAGTTCTAAATGATTTTGCAGCTCACAGCTGCTGCCTTCCATCTGCAACTTCCGATGTCATGCAGTCCATGTGATGTTTAGGGCAGCCGGCTGCTCTTCCCTCTTGCGTAATGACACTGTGTTGCTTCTCCTTCTGGTTTTAGTGGGGAGTGATTTCATGTTGAGATAAGCATCTTCCATCACCCTTGACAAGGCTATTTAACAGGACAGCACAATTATTTGCAGATTCAATGAGTCAGATTGTTAATCTTGAGAAGATAAAATCAGAACAATTAATCAGTTTAATTATAGTGATACTGCCACAGCTGGAGGAGAGAAAAAAAAAACCCTATGGAAATATGTAACGCATGGTGTCATCTCATTGTATTCATGATATAGTCATTTATTCTCCAAACCCTGCTGAGCAGCTTTTGTAGAGTTTTAACTTTCCTGAAAAATGTTGCTTCTGAAATTGAACATTTCTTTTGAAAGCTGTGGCAAAGCAGTTTATTGTTTCATTCAAGATTTAACATTTAACATTTCAAAAAGATTTTTGAAAAAAGTTTTTATACATATATAATGTTACAAAAAAAAAGATATTTCTATTCTATTCTATTCAAATAGATACTGTTCTTTTAAACTTTCCACTCATCAAAAAATCTTGAAAAATATATCATTGTTAAATAATAAATAAATTAATAAATTAATAAGGAAAGCAAAGCAGCACAATGTTTTCAACTCTGATAATAATAAAACGGTATCTTGTGCACCAAATCAGTGTATTAGAATGATTTCTGAAGGATCATGTGACACTGAAGACTGAAGTAATGAATGCTGAAAATTTAGCTTTTCTATCACAGGAATAAATTACATTTTGAAATATCAAATAAAATGGACTTCTTTTAAACTGTAAATATATTTTACAATATTAGTATTTCATTGCTTTTTTGATCAGCCTTGGTAAGCATTAGAGACTTCTTTCAAAAACATTTAAAATGAACTGCAGTGAACATCAGTGTCATTAGCAATTCAATTTTTTTTCAGGTTTTAACATATTAAAAACATGCCAGCTATTGAGCCTAATTTGGTCTCTAATTTGACCCATGTGGACAGATGCACCATCATTAAACTGAGATGAAATAAGCTATTAATATACTTGTTGGGGTTCAGTTGACAAAACATTGATTGAGCAACCCAATTTCTAAGTTCCTGTTTTCTACTGGTTCTTGTGCAAAAAGAATGAAGTTTATAGTCTGCCTACAGTAAAAACTATAGAGATGGCATATATGAGGTCACCGTCTCATTGTGCTGTTTGTGGCTGGTGGTTAAAAAAAAACATTTATAAAGGTCTAGTTAATGACCACCACACCTAGGTTAAATTACCTTAAAGCAACTTGATGTCTTATGGAGTGAGACTTATAATTACTTTTAAAAATAAATAATGTGTTAAAAAACCCATATGAGAGAAGGCAGCAAAGAATGAGTAATGAGCTGTTAACACAAGACGTGTTCTTGCATTCAAAAACAACTAGACAGTGTGCAGCTGAACTGAACAGAATCAGCACAGGGGTCATGGGATGCGTTTTTAATCATTGAAGTGTTTTGAACTTGACACACTGAAGTAAAAATGTGCTTATTGTGTGAGATGCTAAAAAAAGATGAAGAAACGACAAAATTGCGAAAGATGTTTGTATATACTAATATACTGCTGTAGTATATACTAATAATATACTTTTATTGTCCTCTTGGGGGAAATGTGTTATAACAGCACATATATAATATAACTGCAATAAAACGGCAATATAAAATAAATAAAAAATCACTAAATAAAAAAATCACTAAACATTGTAAAAATAAGTCTCAAATATATGTTTAAGTAATCTTAATTAGATTTTTTATAAGCAGATATTGATATGTATGTTTCGATTTGCAATTAATTTGATCAATTAATCAGTATATTATGTAAAATGTTAAATCGACTGACAGTCCTAAACATGTAATGCAATTTCCCAGGATACCTAGCAGGTAAGTACAAACTCCATGCCTCTGAGATTCTTTCAGCCGGCCTCTGCAGGACAAATCAATAGAGGTGCTCTATAAAAGGTATTATTAGCCGTAATGGGGAAATTAATTTGGATGTGATCCATTGTCTTGTTTTTGTTTTGTATGAGAATGTTCTAGATGCCCTACATCCAACTAAGCATAGAAATATGGTGCTGTATTAAACCACACTCAGGCTTAATTATGTGTTCTGAAGTAAAAAAAAAAAAAAGTAACCCCTTCATAAATCATGCAAATTAAAAGGGTTCACTAAATGCTCACAAGATAGTTTACAAACAATGCAAAATAGTAGACCTATATTTTATAAGCAAAATTACACATTCAATGATTTTTATAGCATACAAATTCGACAGCACTTTGTATGCTTCCATCACTTCCATCAGCCAATCACAGCCCACTGGCAGAGTGAAGCCGAGCATTTGGGAACCTCAGGACTGAACACAACGTTTGTCAAGCCTGAATCCCATTTTACATCTAAGGCTGGTGAGAGATATGAAAGACTCCCAGTGGGCTCCCAGTGTGCTAACGATACCGTATCATGCACCAGCAGGGCTGCCTGATTTTAATAACAGTTACAAACAAGGTGATTAGCACAACCATAGCAGCTGTGGATGCTGCCACTGATAGATGGAAGAAATAATCCCCCAGAGCCTCAACACACAAACACACACATACTCACAAAAGCTGAATAAGAAATGTGATGGCACCAAACTCTCCTTTAATGTTCTAAAGCTGAACCTTTGGGCAAACGGTGTGAGGCATTTCGCTGGTGAACTAACAGGTCCGCCAGGAGTATATAGTCAGAATTCAGAGAGACAGAATGCAATAAGCTTCTCCGGTCTTGGGTTTTAAGCTGAGCTGAGAGGGCCGAATTCAATGAGCAGGCAGATAACATTTACAGAGGCAGGAGGAAACTATTTGCACATCAGGTAGGGCATTACCAGTTCATATAAAACAACTCTCATAGTCAAACAAGAGGGAGGTTTTAAAGCAGAAAGAGCATTTATTTCTGCTGTGACAATGCAATTATTCTTCTATAGTGAGGGAGAAAGAAAAGAATCACTGCAGCTCTTTTGTGGCGAGTTGTATATATAAATATAAAAAAGACCTGTGTGTTTATAACAACAAGTGCATGAGATTTCTCTGAAGTGGGAGCAGCCTGCATTGACAAAACACCTAGAACACATAAAAGGAGGAGAAAAGGTTCTGGCGTCTACACAAAGGAAAAAAAATAAAGGATTTTAATATGAAGCGACCTTTCGTGGAATTTATGGAGAATGTCAGGAACTGTGAGCTCCCTGCTGGGAAGTGAAGGACCAACGTGGTCTCTAAAAGACAGCCTGCATGCTGTGATTTCAGAATTAATTTGAAGAAATATGAAGCTTTTAGTCGACTCATAATGTTACTACTTTCAATTTTAGACTTACTTCCTCTATGCCTTGAAAATTCAGAGTTACTTGTTTTGTCACGTTGGGTCAGTATCAATTATTCGTTTCCCCTTCAAATGACTAAATAGTAGATTTTATATAGTGACAACAGAACTATGCAATGTTAAAAATAAAATGAAACTAGAGAGCTTTGTGTTCATTAAGCATATTCACATACAAGCCAAAATTCTCATAAATAACCACGCAAAAAATATATTTAAAGCTTGAACACTATGAATTTTGCCCAGGTTTTTGCCCTGATTTACAAGTTGATGTTAGTTGCCTAAAGTCAGAGCCAGATTGCAGATTTTAACTGATATTTTACAAAAAATAGTGCAGTGTATGATGGGAATCTGAATCCACCCAGTCGGAGAATATCAAACGTGCTTGATATTTTAAGTAAATTATAGAAAAACATGCTTTTCAGTACAGCATTTGGCTAAATGCCTCACGTGGACCCCTTATCTATATCACTGAACCCCTCTGTGATTTTATCTAATTTTTCCTCCTTTATGTTCCTTACTGCTGCTTTTTGGCAGTGACACAGGACTGCAGCCATGTAATAAAGAAGATACACACATTTTTGTGTTCTCTATCCCACATCAACTAGCAGACACTTTCTCACCCCGCGAACTCCGGTAACCCAGTGTTGAACTTTGCTGAAATGGCATGGTGCATTGTGATCCATTTACATAAGGTAAACATTGTCTGACAGACTAATCAACTGCTTTTCTGAATCAGTCAACTAGTAAAAATGAGCAGTTGTGCAGACCCTAATCTGATGCTAATGAATGCAATCCAGTGACGTGATATCCTAACCTGGAGCTACGTTTAGAGATGTGACAGCTCTAATAAGGTTCTATGACACACCATGTGGTCAACAGCGTGATGAGTCAGGATTTACAAGCCTGCATATGGACAAGCATCTGCAGATGTGTGGAGTTCTGGCACTGAGACACAGAGCTGGACTAGTTAGCTTACCGAACAGCGTTGTCCATGCGGGATACGGTGAGGTAGGCTGCCAGGTTGGCTGTGTAGGACGAGCAGACAATGAGGGTAAATAGCCACCAGCTTCCCATTGCAATCCTGAGAGCCACTGAACTCATGAAGGATTCACCACCTGCAAACACAAGGAAGAAGAGAAAACATTCTATGCGGATTGCTTGTCATTGTTTACACCAATTCAAAGATGCACTGATACACAAAAACCCCAAAGAATGGAGAAAAATGCAGGGTTTTTCGACAGCAGGGTCTAACTGGTTCATGCTAACCAGCTAAACCTTGACCCCTTGTCTATATCACTGAACCCATCTGTGATTTTATCTCATTTCAGCCTTCCATTATTTTTCTTCCTGCCACTTTTTGGCAGTGACACAGCACTGCAGCCATGTAATAAGATTCATTCTCCCATCACCCGTTTTTCTCAGAAAAGCTCAACACCTTATAAGCCTGTGCTAAAATGTCAACACAATATTCCTCTCCAGCGCACACAGCCTTGGAAATGTCATCACTGACACAGAGACGGTGAGAATAAAACGAGAAGGGAAAAGATCTGCTGCTATCATGCTCAATGGAGCTCGTTAGGGGCTATAAGTTTTCTTTTGGGACTCTGAGCCAAATTATCTGAGATCTGAAATGTCCCTTTAGGCCTAAAAGGATATCCACAGAGTCTGTAATTGGAAAGGTCAAAGGTTAAGTGGGCAACCATGCTCATTATAGGGTTGAGAGTGCACTGGTTTAAAACTGAACCTCCCAAGAAAAAAAAGTGCTTGTGCTTTTTTATATGCCCAGACAGAGAATTTGAATCTTTGAATCATTTTTGTTCTAAACATGCACCTCCACACCAATATGTAAGTTTAGTAAGGGGATTTCACAAAATATTTACAAATCATTTCATTAATGATGATTAGTTGCATTTACAACATAGCAGCATGTATTCTAGGGCAAAGTAAAATATGGCAAATTTTATATGACTGGAAATGAAATAGCTACTACCATTCAAAAAACTTTGGGGTTGGAAAGATTTTTTTATGCTTTTGAAAGAAGTCTCTTATGTTCACCAAGGCTGCATTTATTTGATCAAAATATAGTAAAAAGAGAAATACTGTGAAATATTGTAAATTTTAAAAAAGCTGAATTTTCAACAGCCATTACTCCATTCTTCAGTGTTACATGATCTTTCAGAAATCATTCTATGATATATGCTGATTTGCTGCTCAAGAAAAAATGTATTATTAATGCTGATAATGTTGGTTCTGCTTAATATTTTGCTAAATACATTTTTTAGTATCATCTGATGAAGAGAAAGTTCAGAAGGACAGCATTTATTTGAAATATAAATATTTTGTAACATTACAAATGTCTTTACTCACTGTCATTTTTGATTTATTGAATGCATCCTTTCTGAATAAAATTTCACAGTAATTGCACATTACTGTATCTCTAGTCACACTGGCCACTTGAGAGGATTGATGATGGACAACAAGCAAAATTTAACTTGATCATAAAGGGAGAGGTCATACAAAAACATTCATACAACATTTTTTTGGGTCACTATCCCTTTAATTTTGAGTGAACTATCCCTTTAAGGCTCCTAACACTTGTTAAGCAGCGCTGTTTGCTCATGATGTGTTACTTTTTAATAAGGGTTGCTACTAGGAGCCCTGACACAATTTGAACAGTATAGCACACCTGCTATCATATGGTTGTCCTTCGTAAGTGACAAGTAAATGTTTATTTAAACAGGTGACCCAAATGCAAAACCTATTTTCATAATTACTCGCAGTGTGTTTCATTATCAATTTATGGGTCCAAGGCTAATAATTACAAATTGGCAAACAGCTGTAGAAAAAAAATTTAATTGTCATTCAGCAGCTGCTGTAAATTGCTTGCATCTTGGTCTAACTTGCTACATCTGAAAGCGCACAGAGACACTTAAGAGTCAGCCCGGTATTGACAAGATACCCAGAGTACGCAGAACGGAAAAGTGCAGCCATTTATCTAAAACTTCAAAAAAACACACTCGCTCCTCTCTTCATAGGCACCTTTAGACACATGCAGCTGTGAGTTACAGAATTCCTATAGAATAATATATTTTGTCAAACAGTCAAAATGTAAGACTTTAGGTCTCTAGTGCTGTAAAATATTTGAAGATATATATATTTTATATAATATATATATTATTATATATTATATTTATAATATATTTTATCATATATTCTGCTGAAAATATATTTTCTTAAAATAAAAGTCTTAAAACGCTGCATTAGCTGTGCTCCTGCATGCAGACGAGAATGTCAGCAACTGATTGCACCATCCAAGTGAGGTGACTATTCAGCAATGCCTCATCCCTCATGTTCATGTGACGTGACCCAGCTCACCTTGCTGTACAAAGGCTCCGTAGACGATCCAGATGGCACTTTGGAAGGACGTCATGACAGAAGCAGGCTGGTGGGGCCCAGGAGGATTCTGGGAGCGGACAGACTGGACGCGTCGGAGCAGAAAGACCATGACACCCACCACAGGAATGGCAGCAGCAATGCAGGCCCACACTGCCAGGTCAAACGGTGCCAGCAAGGAGAAGATGTTGAGTCTCTCTTCGGTTTTAGTCATCAGGATTCCCACAGAATAATCCAGATAGCGTTTACTGAAGTCCACCACATTCTCTCGCTCAGGAGTGATGGTGATGGCTGAAATAGCCACATCTGCCCTCTAAATCGTAATAAATCAACATGCAGTCTGAGATAACAAAAACACAAGTGAAATCTGGCTGTATAAGTTACAAGAGAGTACATTTGAATAAGTGCAATGCCTTCATAACCATATGTGCCTAAAGCAGTTAACAATTAATTGACTAATATCAGTATGCAGTTTCACATAAGAAACACTATGGAAAAGTCTTTATGAATGTGAATCTCACCTTCCCAATTAGTTCTCCAATCATTCCATTCCAAGACCCATTGGCCTGAGGAGATCCGTATTTCCCATCAGCCACTTGATACATTTCATACTTAAAACCCAGAATTTTGGCCAGGGCGTCTAGAACATCTATGGAAAATCCCTTATAACTTTTGGGCTGACCTAGAATGTTTTCTGCCACCATCACAAACGGCTCCTCCTGAAGACAACAGAGAAATGTAGGGGTTCATTTGATTCACTTGTTTATTTATTTAATTATACTTTGGTAACCTGATTTGGAACTAAGTTAAGCAGCGATGAAAGGATGAATATGCTTGTTCTGCCTACACATACACTACCATTCAAAAGTTTGGGGCCATTAAGATTTTCAATCAAAAATAAAGTTAAAAATATAATATCAAATATAGAGTTAAAAATCGAAAATGGAAATATTATTATCATTTAAAATAAGTGTTTTCGATTTTAATACAATTTAAAATGTAATTTATTTCTGTGATTGCCAAGATGAATTTTCAGCAGCCATTACTCCAGTCTTCAGTGTCACATGATCCTTTAGAAATCATTCAAATATGCTGATTTAGTGCTCAAGAAACATTGTTATTATTATCAGTGTTGAAAACAGCTGGTGCACAGAAAGTTAATTTATCTGAACATTTATTTGAAATAGAAATCTTTTGTAACATTATATATTGTATAACATAATGTATGCCTTTAGTGTCACTTTTGCTTAAACCCCAAACTTTTAGGATTCATTCGCAAATGTTTTCAAACAATGATATTAGAATCTAATATTTCCCACAATTCATATGTATCTCCCGCAGCATCTTGACAGTAACGGACAGGCTTAAAGTTTAGCTGACATAGCTATTATTTGGCGTTAGTGCCAGACAGATTTAGATTGAATTAGGGATGCACCGATACCGATACTGGTATCAGTATCAGGCCCGATACTGAGCTCCTGTACTCGTACTCGTTAAAATGCCCGATACCAAACGCCGATACCACACAGCATCTTTTAAGTGCCATATTCAGACAATGAAACACCGACAACAGAACAACAGATAGCAGAATGGAGTTATTAGATATTAAGGATGTCTACGAAGTATATGTATGCAATGAATATAATGTTAAACATTCAGTATTGACTGTATAGCTGATAAGCAAAGCACGCTGAGTGGATTGAGCGTGCAGCATCACAGATGCGCGAGCTTGTCGAGTGAATATACCTTTCTCACAGACATCACTGGAAAGTTTGTAGTTCGGTCAGATACGTCAAAAACAAGTAAGTAAAACAATGCACAAGTTACTTAATGGTAGGGAGGGAGAGAGAGAGAAAGAGAGAGCGCGCGCACTTCTGTTGTGTGATCTTTGATGTTCACTCACTTAGCACACGCATCATTTGGACTGAAACTAAATCGTAAAAATAAGACCATTTATATGGGCATTCACTATAAACATAATTTATTTTTAACCTTAGCCATACACGACTTTCTGGCAAAAGTGAATCTAGCACCCTGTGTGAAATGCGCTAGGCTGTACTATTCTGCATCTGTACAAATACGTGCACGCGTTGCGCGTGTTTTGCTTGCTTGAGTGTTTCTGCATTATATGAGTGGCGTTGGAATATAAATCGCAGCACGTTTCAGATGAAAAAAAAACGCGAATCAAAGTTATCTAACATTATCAAGCTGAATTTGTTCTGACACAGTTTAACTCTTAAGTTCTTGCCATATTTTATTACCATTTTCTAAACTATAGCGAATAAACTGTGATAATGTGAGAAATGTTGAAGGTGTCTGAATAAATTTTGGTTTGACTGTATCTATTTGATAAATTAAGTTAACCAACTAACATTATACATACTCTGTACCCAATATTTAAAAAAGTTACAAATGCAATAAAAATATTGGTATCGGTACTCGGTATCGGCAAGTACTGGCAAAAATAAAAGTATCGGTATCGGGCGAGTACTGGAAAAAGTGATAATGGTGCATCCCTAGATTGAATCTTATAATTTCCTCATTTGAAGGGAAAGCAAAGATGAAAGCAGAGCCTGACTAATAAGTTTGGACATATTTCTGCAAATAAAAGATTTAATATTGATTACAAACCTTATTTCTGTGGTGAATCCGTCTGTTCAGGTCGTGACTTGAGATCAGATTGGTTTTCTGTCACATTTAGAGCATTGACTGACGTGACACTTTTACCAGTGAAAGCTGAGACCCTTTGGTCTCAGGTTAATCTAAATGAAGTGTTTCAGCTGACCTGTTACACCATGGCCAGGGAAGCGTGCAATGCCTCATCAGACAGAAATTACCTTTTTTAATTCACCTGGGCAATTTGCAGTAAGGCATATCGCCACCAAACAAGATTGACTGTTTGTGAAGCAGGCCCTGCGCACTCAAACACAGACAGATGAAATATCTAAGACTCAAGCTAGTGCACTGTAATTGCATTTAGAGAGACCACAACCAAGATAGACTGGAGAATAAATAAAGATCAAAGCCCAAAGGAATCTCTGGTGAAAACCTTCAAGAGTCTGCATGACTAAACTGATATCTGATGAGAGACAAGACAAAAACCACACAGCGCAACCATTTGGAAAAATATACCGTTTATGACAACTAGTGATCGATGATATATTGCAGCAGCAAGCTCTCAACTCGACTCGTATATTACATATTTTCATATATTATTCTAACCATTCAAATGAAGATTAGAATTAACTGGAAAATCAATATTGGTACCCAGCCCTAGCCACAATTAGTATGCTGTAAGATGTACTGCAGGAACAGGAGACGCAATATAAAGTAACATTCTGTTATTTCTGGAATAAAATTCTTACTGCCCAAACATTACTTGCAGGAAATTTTTAGAACCATCAACATCTGTACATCTAAACATTCCTGGAATAACTTTTTTTTGAATGGATATTAGCATTAAGGTCACAGTTAGGCTTAGGAATGGGGTTAGTGGCTTAAACAAAATTTTTCATCAAGAATTGTGTTGTAGGGGGAAGAGAAATGATTGCTTGATAGCAATTTTATTCCATGAACATGTCCTACTTACTGTATGAAAATCATGTCATGCTTTTTATTCTACAGTGACTGTAAGAGTAACCTGACATCAGTAAAACACTGATTGTATCTACGGGGAGCTGAATCAGATTTATTGAAATACTCACCAGCAAGGTCACCACTTTCAGAGTAATTCCTTGCATGCCATGCTCAGCCCTGTTCTCCCTCAGACTGCCGTTCAGCCCACGATCAGAGTCCCACGTCGCCAGCTGGGAGATGGAGGAAGAGATTGTGATTGAGCTTTGATCAAAAAATGATTGCAAAGAAAAGGGAGAGTGGGAAAAAGATTTAAGAAGGAGGAACAGGACAGTTGCTGAAAGTCAGGGATGACCTTACATGACCTGAGATTTTGTCCCAAAACATGTTTTCATCTATGACAGACCCTTCACCATTGAACAGAAATCAGTAGCCCTTCAGGATTCATCTCAGAGGTTCAGCTATTTGTGCTTTTGTTACACGCCCAGGTGAAAATGTTCATGTAAGTGTGTGAGGTGGTCGCCTAGGCAACAGCTGTCACATTTTCCCCTTCTCTTTAAAAACTAAAATTAAACACACACCCAAGTGTGTGCGCGCGCACTCACACACCTGCCCTTTGTCAATATGCTTCCACAGGCTGCTGATTACAGTCAATGTCAGCACAGAAAACACAATAAAACAGAAAACAACACAAAAGAACAACGCTATCAAAAGTTTCTTAATTTCTGAAGGCCTTGAAGCTGAACTGATGCCACTACAACAACAAAAAAATCTTAATTTGAAACCTCTGTGTAATCATTTCAAATGATTAAAAGTTGTGAAGTTTTAGGTAAGATTAAGTTGTAACTTTTTGTATGGCCCAAATGAAATGCACATCATGCATCATCTTGTTTTCAGTCTCATTCTGTATGCAAATAGATGTCGAAAAAAAAAACTGCTCTTTTTTTTAAGCAAATATTACAATGATGTTGTCAGAACCATAGCCTTCTGGGTAGCACTTTGACATGTGGCACAGCTGCGCCTCAGGCAACCCCACTTTGGAGTACTGGCTCCAGGTCCTGTTCCCCTCTCTCCTCTCCCAGTGTTTCCTGTCTCCTTCCTACTGTCCCGTCCATGAAAAGTGGAAAGCTAATTTAAAAATATATATGATGATGTCATTGCAGTTGACTAATTGAGAAATTTCTGGAAGAAGAAAAATAAAATCTCTGTGAAACATAAAGTGCTGCCGTGAAAACGCCTCAATTAATATCCTAATATGAAAACCACTTTATTACTGAATATGCACATAGACAATACAGAACATGCACATTAATCTTCATTCAATTTCGGTTTCTTTATATTATTCCATGAACAAAACCACTCTCATCTTTGTGAGTATTATCCTGTCTGTGAATCACCACATTAGCGGCATATAAGCCAGTTGCTGAGCCAGTGGAGAAATGACAATGCTCATATTCTCCCTCCACAAGCAATGACAGCGTTTCTGTAAAACACAGTGCCACACTTCAAAATGAAAGCCGGGATGCATCTATCTTTAAATTCAGGCCCATTCATCATAATCCCAATATCCCACCAGATCCATTCCTCCGCTGTGACGGATTCAGCAGGCCACTGCACTAACATCTCGGATAGAAGTAACTCTGACCCTGAAATCATGTACGGCTCTTGTACGGCCAGTGCTTGAGCCCACAGTCTTCTGTGAGTGACAGAATGACAGAGGCTTTAGAATCTGCCCCAATGACACGAATCATATATCTTCACTGCAGTGCCCAATACACAGTCCCTGTCACAATAATAACCCCTACCTCACCCATAATAGCAGATTCAGCTTTTACAAGCAAGATTAGATTTTATATTATCAAAACACAAAGAATAGAGAAGAATAGAGAATAAAGAAGCAGAAACAAAGAGATAAGATAGCAGGAATTTGGGAAAATACTTATTTTTAGGGATTTCTCTTTCTTTAGTTCTGTAGTAGTGGGGAGTTTTCATTGTCTTTTACAGCAAGTTATGCCCAATGGTGGTGACAAGTGACAAGTGTTGAATCATTCACTCAAGCGATTTGTTAAAGTGCCCCTATTATGGATTTTTGAAAATTACCTTTCATGCAGTGTGTAACATAGCTCTAAGTGAATGAAAACATCCTGCAAAGTTTTAAATCTGAAAGTGCACCACATATAAAGTTATTGTCTCTCAAAAGAGTCGACTCTGAATCATTGAAACGAGTCATTTTTAAAACAAATCCCAAGCCGCTTCATGTTGACGTCAACATGAAACATTAGCATATTGCCGCCCACTTGTTGGTCTTTTCGTACTTATTTTTAGGGATTTCTCTTTCTTTAGTTCTGTAGTAGTGGGGAGTTTTCATTGTCTTTTACAGCAAGTTATGCCCAATGGTGGTGACAAGTGACAAGTGTTGAATCATTCACTCAAGCGATTTGTTAAAGTGCCCCTATTATGGATTTTTGAAAGTTATCTTTCATGCAGTGTGTAACACAGCAGCTCTAAGTGAATGAAAACATCCTGCAAAGTTTTAAATCTGAAAGTGCACCGTGTATAAAGTTATTGTCTCTCAAAAGAGTCGACTCTGAATCATTGAAACGAGTCATTTTTAAAACAAATCCCAAGCCGCTTCATGTTGACGTCAACATGAAACATTAGCATATTGCCGCCCACTTGTTGGTCTTTTCGCGTTGGTCTGAATGAAAATGCAAATTCATTCTTTGCCACTAGGTTTTGCAGCGGTAAAATAGCTGTTTCCCCGGTAATGGCTGTACACAAAGCAGCACTGTGCTCTCAAACGCTGCTTTATCAGGCAGTACAGGCAAGATGAAATGAAAATGAGACCAATCAGACCAATCACCGCAGATTAGCGTCATGCAAAGGAGGGGTTTGGAAAAATTCATTGTTGAGCGAATTGTTTGGGAGTCGTTGAGCAAAAGGTAAAAATAAATGCATATTATAAGACAATGAAAGTGTTTTTTGACCTTGCATGCAGGTCAACCTGATGCTGGGGACTCCAAAATACGAACCTTTCATTACTCATAATAGGGGTACTTTAAAAAAACGTTCATTCATTTATGAATGAAACAAAGGAATGTCTTTATAAAAGAGTCATTGAATCATTGACTCAAGTGATTCGTTTAAAAACATTGAACCATTCAGGTAGAAAATAAGTTATTGACAATGAAACAAGTGAATGGTTGCATCTGAAAATGCAAACTGAAGTGCACATCTGAAGGACTCTACTATGCAATCAGGCCATGGAAGAGGATTTGTGAATGGCAGCAAAGCATTACAGCTGATGCTGGTAGGTCACATGACAATGACAACATGACAGATATAGTATGTCCTGGTTATATTCATACGGCAAACATGCATGCTTAATTGTCATAAAGTACTAATTCAAAAGATGTACCTACTCAAAGAATATGCAATTCTGGATGCAGCCAATGTCTCTATGAGTGATTTATTGAACCATTCAAACACTGATCCATTCAGGAATAAAACACCACTGCCATGTCTTTTTTCATTGAGTGAACAAAAACAGACAGTCACTGCAGATATTGTGTCTAAAATGTAAGTACATTAATATTAACTTCTTGTTTATTGAACTGTTGTGTAAAGGCAATATCATACTCGCAATCATACAGCTGGTCTCACTGGCCTCATCTCTGCCAATTTGGCTCCACGGCATGGGATTGTCACGGATTTCAGTTTTTTTTATTTTTTTATTTTTTATCGAAGATATTTTGCCATACTGTGTTGAGATTGATTTGTGAATAGAGTGATTTAATCAACTGTGTTATAGTCTTACTTTGGACTGAAGTTGAAACAGAAATGTAGTTGTTCAGTGCCTTTAGAGAGCTGTAAGTTGACAACTGTTATACACATTTCAGTAAACTGAAATAATTCCTCCATCTTCTCTCTGCCCTGGTGAGGCTGACAGGGATTTTTCTTTATTTCCCGTACGCTTCCTCCAAAATTTTCTCTTTTAGCTTTTGCCTGTGCTGTTAAATAGTTAATAATGTGGGTGGGTGTTGACAGAGATAAGAGCAATGTGGCTTGTCCACTGGAGATGTTCTGTCAGCAAACACTTGAAAGCCAGATCTATCCTACAGCACAAAAGAGATTTCCATCATCTGCAAGAGTGTGTGAGGAAGTATGTGTAGAATCACATTTACAAAACTTCAGTATCATGTGTCTCTTAAAGGGACAGGTCACCCTAAAATTAACTTTGTGATAATTTACTCACCCTTCAAATTTTTTTTTTTGAAGAATTCTGGGTTACATTGGAATGACATGAAAGTGAGAAAACAAAAGAACTGTTTGAGCAGTAAATATTAATATGCGTATTGTCACAGTACCCAGTATTTACATTGACAGGAAGCACATTAACAGTTACAAAACCCCTCACAACAGTAGCAATACTCCAATATAAATGAAGCTTCCTGTTTACAGACGTCAAGCTGAAATCAGGGCTTCAGTAGTCCTTTTTTCAGCATTTACATAATACATCTCTGACTGTCTTTTGTCATTGCTGAGTGTTGTGTCAGCCACTTTGTACTGCAAGACTCTGAGCTGGTTTGTGCCATTTCCTAGCCTCTCGTTCACTCATCTCTTGTTTGTGATATTAGTGCTACAAGCCAACCAGAATCCCGCCTGTGACGACATATGAACATTTTGTCAAGACTAAAGGTCTGTGAGCCAGAAGTTTACAGCTTTTATTGTTTGTGACTTGGAGAGCTGACGTCTCTACTTGAGAGCACATGGGGGAAAGAGGCAGAGGAACAAAGAGCCAGGGAGAGAGGATTACACACAAATGTTAGCGTACAGTACGAAACAGTATGTGAGACAGAGTCATGCAGAGCAACGGGGAAAGAGAGAGGCTTTTAAGGTGCAGAGATGAAGCTTCAATTTCTTCCCGTATTGTGAGGGCTGTTGATTTTTTATGATTCTGTAAGCTGCTGTTTCTGTGATTGGTAAGAGAGAGAGAGAGAGAGAGAGAGAGAGAGAGAGAGAGAGAGCCTCTTTATTGAGCCTGTGAGAGAAACTCATTACCATTCATCAAATCAAATGAGACTCTCACTCTCATGAGTGATAAATTCACCTCATTTCTGCATCATCACACTATCAAAATATACAGAAAATAATATCTGTCACAACTGTGCTGCTTTTTATGCAACTCTCTGAGCCAATTTAAACAGATTATGATGGATATATTATTGTGTGAAATGTTTAAATTGTTACAATTCTAGATTATTTACTCTATAAGATCTATTTTAAACTAAATTGGCAGTTTATGTTACTTTATGTTACAAAGCAGGCATAATTATCTGTTGAAGACAAAAAAAAAACAAATTATAATACAATTTTATCTACAATTGTAATTAGTTTATAGGATTTTTTGCAGAGTTTGTAAAATTGTTTTTCTTTTTATATAAAAAAAGTTCAGAATTTTATATATATACTGTATGTTTGTGTGTGTGTGTGTGTGCGTGCATAACCTCAGTTTGGTAAAGGTTTATCAAGATAATTTATTAGACTCTATTTCTATCTAAAGCTTTAAAAGTGTTATGATTGCTGTAGAATGGAAATTATATCTCAAGCTTTTGAATATGACATTGTGATGCCATACTTCAGTGAGCGAATGATGAACAGCAGACAGAGTTTGACCAGGGAGAAACATAATGAATATACTGTGTATATGTATGTGTTAGAAAAATAAAGAGCATTTCAGTTTTTTTCCCTGCTTTTTTCTCACACTAAGACACATGTGTCCTTTAAGACCCATGAGGTCAGCTGTATGCTTCTTTTCACCAGATGCTCACAGGGGTGGACAGAGGCTCATTAAGGCTCTTTTTTTCCTCCCAGATTCACCTGCAACCTGCGGTCAACCCATTGCCATGGGAACTACTCAGGCAATTGTGCAGAGGTCACCCACGTTGGCTTGGACAGACTCAAACACAATACCTGTGTTCGTCGAAGCACCCACTTTTAGCCTGATGCCACTGCAATACAATTACAAGATCAGCTGAGATCATCTATGTAGCTTTGGCCCTATTTTTTTATTTTTATTTTTTACAAGTATGAGCAGGACAATATGACAACATCTGCTTAGTCTGACTTGCAGTCCCTCACTCCCTGCTTTCACTTTCTTGCTTATTAAGATGATTAAATTGTCAAATTAACCTAGTGTGCTAAAAATGTCCTGTCAAACTGAATCATGCATCAGGACTGAATAATCCATCTCACACTGCTGTCACTATTACATCACTATACTATTACTATTATTAATTCAATAATCAACTGAGAGGCTTGTCAAGTTCATCAACCTTTCAGAGGTTTCTCTTCTCAGCACCTGCTCCCCACATGAAGGTGTTGGGCTGAACCACTCAGAGCAGGACTGGGAGCGGATCCATCTTGTAAAGATGCTCGGTTTCGCAGTCTGGATTACACCGCATAAGAACAGACAATTTAATGAAAAGAGAAGATTAAAAGAAAGTGAGAGAGGGAGATGGGGAAGGACACAAATGGAACTGGTGAGAATGAGAGAGAGAGAGAAAATAACATCTCCGTCTTCATTATGGAGGTAAATTCCTCTCGACGTCTGGCTGAAAAATAACCTCCTCATTCCAAACATCCAGTATACTAGACACATTTTCCTGCTCTGTAGCAATCGTTGGGTTATCAGGCCAACTTCTGGGTGCGTCTGAACAGCTCAGTTCATATTGATTGCTCATTTGTGTGAATATATGTGTGTGTTTGTGTGTGTGTGCATGTCCATATGAGCCATTGAGTCCATATTTATTCTAAATTTCTTTGTACATTAGTCAATATACAATGTTACTGTTGCATTTTATACTGCCATACCCATACAACGCATAATCCATGTTAATATAAATAATGCAATAATATATTTACAATATAAAAATACTGTAAATAAAAAGGATTAACAATAAAAATGTGTGAGCTACTACCAAAAATAATTATATGAATTAAACACACATTGTTTTTTCTCACTACTTTAATCACTAATTTTATGACTATTTTATTAATACTTTATCTTATAAAAAATATTATATATTTGAACATTGGATATTATATTGCTCCCCTAAAATATATAAAAATGAATGAATGAATAAATAAATAAATACATCATTTTATTTAATGTAGCATATAACATCTTTCACAATTAAACTGCATATTCTGAAAAAAAGAAAGAAAGAAAGAAAAAAAGAAAGAAAGAAAGAAAGAGGAATGGAGAGGAAAGCGTGGAAAGATGAACCTACAGGAAGAGAGTCTATGTGACATGCAGAGAACTTCTATGCGGGCTTTAGAGAGCCTTGAGGAAGAGACATTGTTTTAAGATGAGATCAGAGTGGAGAAATGCATATTCATGCTGATGTACAACAGAATGTGTGTGTGTGTGTTTATTAGCTGTTAGTGTATTGTTGGACAGTAGGGGTGCTATTGTGTGTGTGAATGTGAAATCATTAGCTCTCTGTGTTTCTTGCCAGAGGGAATGGCCATGTTCAACTCGCACACTCACTAATATTCAGGCTAGAAGATTGAGACTGTTTGGCATGTGATAGACCCAGCAGCCATGCTAATGACCACAGCCATGCCGCAAAGCACTTCCACTGCCCTGCAAGCATGTGCGTATGAGTGCTCGTGCATCAGATAGAGAGATGAAAGAGAACACAGAGAGACAGAAGCTGTAATTCATTATCTCTGATGGGTATGTCTGAATGTGTGTTGATGTTTGTGTGTTGTTGTGAGATCTAATGAACTCTGAGCTATTTGTATGTGTTTGTGTTAAAGTATCCTGGCCATGTTCCTTATCAGTGTCTCCAATTCCAAAACACAGCAGGATCCACCATTCAGTTGCTCGTACTCTCTGTCCATCTGTCTGTCTCGCTCATCTTGCTTTCAGTCCACTTATCTTCTCCTTTCAAATATTTTTAGTTGTGCATCATGATTTCTATCTGGTTTTTGGAGTAGCTGATGGTCCCAGACTACAAAAATGGGCTTTGCTCTTTCCCAGAGTTAGTCTTCTTATTTTTTTTTTTGTTTTTTTTTTGTTTATCACAATGCATAGGTCAGGATTTTGGTGGGTTACCTAAGCCCCTATTGATGACATAACTACAAAATGTGAATGTGTGAATGTAAACCATTCAAAAATAATAACAAATAGCTCTGTATATTATGAAAAAACAAATCCAAAGACCAAGGCCCAATCCCAATTCTATTTTATACCCCTACCCCAACCCCTTCGCCTACCCCTTCCCCTTGTCCCTTGAAACAGAGTGTCAAGGGGTAGGGGTGAAAATACTCCCCTAAGAATTGGGACACCACTACTATACCGTTACACGTAATCATACGTCATCTAGCTCCTACAATAAACACACCTATACTGGTGTGCATTAGTGCCTTACCGTTCTATATTAATGAAGCTGCTACACTCCAGTCCAGTAGGTGGCAAAAATGTTAACCCACTTCTTCTCATGTTTTAATTGCATATCAACTTTTAAAAAATTGAACTTCTGCCACCTACCAGACTGGAGTGTGAAGTGCTGGATGGTACAAATGAAAGCAGAAATTTACTACACAATTTAATCTTCAGACCTGATCTGATCCAATCAAATAAATTTTTCATTACATTTTCTCCTTTTGAGTTCTGCAAAAGATAGAGTCATACAGGTTTGGAACAACGCAAGAGTGAGAAAATCGTGACAGCAGTTCAATTTTACGGTGACCATTCCCTGTATTATATCAGTTGTAAAGATCCTAAATGGTTTATGCACAATCCAATCAGCACTTAAATTTTTTTCTTTATATTACAGCTTATGTTTTGTTTGGATATCCGTTTAGTAATTGACAAAAAAATAAAATAAAATAAAATAAATAAAT